GAAGGAATTTGATGAGAGCGTTTTAACAAATTTAACAAATTTAACAAATTCGGTAGTGGTGGTTATCCATTTAATTTGCAAGAAAATTATTTACCTTTGAAAGGTAATATTATAGATATTCGTTACAAGTAGAGTATTCCATTGTAAAATTTTTTTTTTAATTTCGATTAAAATATATATGAAAAAAATATGTGATCGAAACGGTACTGATCTTTTTTCAATTATACACGCGGAAAAAGTATTCGTTTCGTTTCAATTTATTCTGACATTTTTTTGTTTAAATCTCGCCTAAAATATTATGTATCGATCGATTATTTTGAATATTTCTGTATAAAATTATAAAAATAAAATTAATATTTTTATTTTACTTCAACTGTCAACTGCGCAAAAACCGTAAAATCAAAAATTCCCTTAATAAAATTTCGAGTGAAAAATTTCTATTTTAACAATTTTAATAGTATAGTTCGATCGAAATAAAACATTGAAATATAATTTCTCCATTTCTATTCAACCATTTAAATACGTACGGTTCAAATTGAATTTTGACACCAAAAAAAAAAAAAAAAAAAAGAAAGAAAGAAACAACCCTCGTTGCACGCACTTCGCCCCACCGGCACTCCACTCCAAGAGCTTAATTCCGTGTTATAAAGCGGACCACCAATAGGAGAAAAACAATTCGTTTTACACAGTTGAAACGTGCGCAATGATTAAAAAATGATATACACTTTTCGCATGTATAATCTCTTTCCCCTGTTCAAATCAATTGTCCAAAGCAATTTAGGGGTTTATCCAATCCTTTAAAATATCGTGATTAAACGAATTGGATTATTCAGAACGTTGCACACCTATTAAAGGGCACAATAGAAGTATATTTGTTTCCCTGCTGGTTCAATCGAATCACTTCTCCGTGGTAACGTGATCTTCTAACTGTTCTAACCAACCGGTGTAATTAACGACCTTCCATTCCATACCGCCAAACGCGTGTCGAATACACGGGTGAAAGTACACTGTTTTGTCTTCGATACGATTTATATTGATTTTTAAAAATCGTAATCTCGAGTTGTAAGAGGTTGCAAGAAATTTATAGAAAATTATATCACGGAGGAACTTGTTAAATATTTAATGGGCTGTCAACGTGCAGGTGCCAATCTGCTTCACAGCGCATGGAAATTTTGGAAAAGTTCCATAATAGCTTGAAGAATCGACAAGTCGGTGCTCGATGCATAAGTCCTGATTTTTAAAATTTTTTAAATTTGCTTACAATGGATTTCAAAAGAGATAAGAAAAAAATGGGAATCCTCTCGTATGCATAAACTGCATCTCGATCGAAAGAAATGGGAATAATAGAAATCTTTACCACGAGTAATTTATCTTCTCTCCTCTTTTTCGATCCTTTTTTCGCCCCCATCATCCGCTCATCCAAGGTGGGGCGTTATCTTAAACATTGCACGAGCGGCCAAATCCACAGGTGCGGTCGAAAGGGTGCTCACGTCGCGCGGAAATGCCTTTGAATCGATGGAACACAGCCGACCTCGATGAAATCGTCGCGCGTGACACGTGTACCGGGTGTACGGAAATTTCAGACGCTTAATTGAAACGAATCGAAAATGTTGTTAAACGTGATTTCAGATCACGTAGTTATAAGGTTTAAAAAGTGTTGGAACGGAGATTCAAAGATATTCTATAGACGGAAGAGATGATAAACTGGTGATGGATTCGCAGAGAGTAATTCTCTTTTAGCGTCCAAAAAAAAAAAAAAAAGGAAATCGATCGTGTTATAATAAATTCGTATAATAAAACTGGATTTAATTTAACTTTAACACTCCTTCTATGGCCTAGATATTAAATTTGCAAAAACTTTTCTATAATTTAAAGGAAAGAAAAAAGGAAACGAGTGAATGAGAAGTAGAGGATAAAAGAAGGCATCGTTACACCGAGCAAACAGGAAGCAAAATGCCATTTCGCTCCATCATTGTTATAAATTTCTCCCTTATCTTCACGAGCACCACGACCAAGCCTCCTTCAAACTTGGACCTTAACCTTTCAGAACACCCAGTATGCACAATTCTCCTCGTCCTTCCCTCCCATCCTGTCTTGTCCCTTTTCTCACCCCCTCCCCTTTTTCCAAGTAGCTGTTCAAGGTAAAACATAGTCGTTCCCGATTCTCACAGGGCGACAACCTTCGCTACCATGTATACGGATCGTTTCATTCCATAGCGCCAGACACCACCGTTTTCTATCAGTCGGTCGCTCCTCTTCTCCCAGGTTTCTTTATCTCACCGGGGAGGAAATTAAATTTCCCGTGTGAAAAGAACCGCGTGAAAAGAAGAGAGTTCTGAATCGGTTTCTAAGAGGAGGAACTAGAACTAACTTTTTCTTTTCTTTCTTCTTTCTTTTTTCGAATTGCCGCGAAACGGGTGCGTTATTGTTCCCGATAAGCCAGCGTGCAAACAACGTTAACGTGGAAAATTAACTGTGGAAAAGGAGGGAATTTTTATCGATATAAGGTTATCGTGTAATAGTGGTGATAGTTAATTTGTATAAGCTGTGGAAGCTTGGTAATTGCATGGATTTTGCAAAAGGAAGAAGAAGAAGAAGAAGAAAGCAAAAGAGGTGCGCAAAAAGAGATAATTAATCATATTGTCTATCTTTATATTTTCTTAAACCACAAGTTTTGGAAGTGAGAATCAATATGAATGAATTTCGTGTTAAATAAATAATGAACGAGATGAATGAAAGAGTAACTTAAAAACAATGATATTCAATATTAATTGAATTCGATATTCTTGCCAAATTTATGAAAAGAACGTTATACAGAATATAAACGAATTAATACAGAATTCAAAGATCATTGGTTTATTGAACCAAATATTCGTAATAGAAGAATATTTAAATACACGGATTAATCATTATACATATTAGAAAACTATGCTAAAAGGAAGGCATTACCTCAAGGCCTTGTTAAAATATTATTCTCCTTTTATTGCATTCTTTTTCATAAATATCCCTTTCAATTTATAAAAGAAACAAAACTTCCTTAAAAAAAAGACACGTTCAATAGTGAGTTCGACCATCTCCAAATATTGTTAGAAAAATCTTTTACTCTTTACTTTTTTTTACATCTCGAAACAAAAATCTCCCCTTTCCCTTTCCACAAAAATCGAGGAGGATTGAGTCGAGGAAAGCTCCCTTCCCTCCCACTTCGAAACGTGCCTTATTGTTCCCCGATAATCTGTCATAGTAATGAAGCGGAACGAACCTCGAATCCGGAAGCGTTCCTTCGTCCACCGGAAACGCGGTCGTTAATCGGCGAGATTAATTTTAGCGCGGAAGGCGTGAAACTTTTATTCGGAGGTGGTACTTTTATTTTTTTTTTTTTTTTT